GGACGACTGGACAAACTCCTATTTGTCGATTTACCTGATTCTCAAGAACGCACCGACATTTTCATCGCCTTAATCCGAAAGCTACCCATTCAGAACGATCAAGAAACCCGGCTCGCTGTAATGGGTCTTGTACAAGATGCATCATTCGATGGGTTCAGTGGCGCAGACCTTGCTGCACTTGTCAGGGAAGCAGGTGTCATCGCTTTACGGAGGACAATAAAGAGTTGGGGAAGCTCAATACAAGGGCAGACAGTCACACCGAGTGATACCAAGGTCACGGTTGAGTTTAAAGATTTCGAATCGGCTTCGACCAAGGTCGGACCAAGTGTTTCCAGGGCGCAACGCAAGAAATACGAAAATCTCAGGACGAAATTTGCTGGTGCCGTTCCGATCGTAAAGACTTCCGAGGACATCAACGATGGCTAAAGTAATTCTGACATCATCGGAATAAGCCTTATTTCTGGACAATCATTTATTCATTTTTATTATTCGTCCTCCATTTCTTCCATCTATATTGAAATTCAACGCTCGCCCACTTTCTTGATCCCGGCTACAACCCGCTCATTTCTCCGACAGGTCGAGCTGAAACCTGCAATGTTCAATAACCTACCAAATCTGACAATCCAGATGAGTATCCAGAAACCAGGTGATGCGAATACCCCGGCAGCACTCCAGTCACAGCAGATACCGTATTCCATCACCTTCAAGGGTAAATACGACGCTTCACAAGCCTCCAATGTGACGTCTACGCCATTCGACGGGCAATCATCAGAATCAGTCACAGTGGTTAACAACTTTACCAAACAAGGTCTCACAAAAGGACAAACCGCTGCTGCCGTCCTGATGCCAATCCTCTTTGTAGCCGCCTGTATTGCCGGCTACGTCTTTTGGTCCAGGAAGAAGGAAGCTAGCAGGCGCAAGGAGTACAGGGAGAACCTCGATCAGCGCATGTCTATCGCTCCTGGAGCGGATTGGGCTCCCATTTCCGCTGCTGGTGCCGCCGCTGCCATCCGCCACTCTATGGCGGGGGATCGCAACACTCGCGCTAGTAGCTTCTTTGGCCGTCAATCTTCTGTTTACCCCGACCCTCCTCAGGAAATGCGCCAGACCAACCGTGGCCGCAACCCCTCGACGGAACAATCCAGGACTTCCCGCATCTCGTTTGCTGATACTACTGTGGATCGCTCTGCTGATCGACCTGCCGTGCCACCACTTCCTGCTGCCTATCGCAAGTCTGCTTACACCAACGAGGATGAGGACTCTAGCCCCGTTCACCAGACTTTGAGCCCCACCCAGCGTCAAGGCGCCTTTGCCCTCGATGATGATAGTATCCGTGATCGACTTAGTGGTGCCAGCACAAACAATGCTCGTGCAAGTGTAGCGGATGCATTGGGAAATGATGATACTCTTCCTGCTCTTGCCAGTGAGTCTCTTGTCTCCATATAATTTTCAAAGCTTACCACCCTTCATCAGTGATGAGGGCCAATGAGTCACCGGCCCCTCCTGCCCCCGTCTTGACACGTGAATCGACTGCTGGCGACTACCGTACCTACTCAATCGGGGCATACTCAGGAAACACTGATAGCATCGCAACTGATGCAAGCCCATCGTATTTCAACCCGCCAACTAACGCCTCTAATCCCGATGATGCTCTTCGTGACTATGCCTCTCGTACTCCACAAATGGTACCGGTCACTACCACCGCTTCACCTTTCTCTGGATTCGCTGCTGGTCCTGGTCTCGCTGCTGCAGCTGGATTCGATATGTCTCCGGACGCAGTGTTCCGCGCATATGCTGCCACCCGTCCCAGTGCTCCTCCAACCACGGTAGCCCCAGGGACTCCTACCACCATGAGGGCATTGTACAACCCGACAATGACTCAGGGACTTGGGCTGCGACAGAGAGCTGATACCCTAAGCTCCATGTATGGCAACAACAATCCTTACCGCGCTTCCATGGCCCCCAGTAGCGCCAGCGACGATCTGGTTGGAAAGGCGCAATAATAGGGAGATCCACCTCATACATTTCTAAAACGCCAAGATTCTACCCATCTCGCTTCCTTACTTGGTTCTGTTTAGTAGTGCTTCAACCTCTAATCCTTTACACCTCTAGTCTCGCTTGAACGCTTGTTCAATGTGCAGCCCTCTCTCTCTCTCACTGGTCCCCTGTGTCTCTTTAAACCCTTGATTGGGTGTGTCTCCCTTGGCTTCGTTGAGCATTGCTGTAGTACGGATCGCTAGATAAGTGCGATCATACCTAGAATTGGGTGCCCATCCTATCACGTAGCCATGATTTATTGTATGGTATTGCTGATTACAACATTAGTTTGAATTTTCTGTGTGAAACCTAATTCAAGTCGCCATTATTACCAACTGAAATGATCAGAACTTTGACTGCTTGAGAATAATTTGTTTCAATTCCGCCACCACCATGTCCGGTCTACAAAAATCGGCAATGCAAGCGAGGCTTGCCAAACTACCATATATACCAACTGTCGCGCCTCCTTATGATGACGAAGAGGACGTGGAGGAGCGAGAAGAGGCCATGTCCTCTCTAGGAACTTTACCTAATATACCACGCCAAGGTCCACGGTGAGGAGATCCCATTACTCTGTTGTTGGAAGATTATCAACTGACACTTGCTCTACTTTAGTCCTACACCTGAAAGAAGATCACTCCGTAGTATTGACACACCTGATCTCTCTGCGTTTAGCCCAATCTCGGCCTCTGGATACTTTTCACAAGCAGTTCAGGTCAAACTGGACAATAGGGGAATCGAATTGCGAGTATATTACTCGCCTGCAGTTCCACAGAGTGGCGCAGAAGCAGATGGACCATCCACAGTTATGGTCTGCCATCATGGGGCTGGGTTCTAATCCATCTATCCATAATTTAATACCTATCATACTAATAAATTTTATAGATACTCTGGTTTGAGTTTCGCTTGTCTCGCCAAGGAAGTTACACGGTTATCTAATGGAGAGTGTGGCGTGCTTGCATTCGACGCAAGAAGACATGGTGCGGACTTCAGTAGTTGAGTTACGGACCTACTTACATGATATGAAGGGAAAACTATACCACTCGATGGACAAACCGACGAAGATCTCGACATTGAAACACTTGCAAAGGATCTAGAGGACTTGCTCGTGACCTTATTCCCTGATCCTATTCAGTCACCAACATTCATAGTATGTACCAATTGACACACAGATATCGTGTAACAATCCTTGATTGTTGACGTTTCATTCAGCTAGTTGGTCATAGTATGGGCGGTGCGGCTTGTGTCAAGACATGTCCTGTCTTACAGAGCAGACAATATAGAGTTTCGGGAGTCGCGGTTTTAGACGTGGTGGAAGGTGAGCTGGCTGTGTTCTGAGAACATGGCTACGTCTGATCGGAACTAGGATCTGCATTGGAAGCGTTGCCAATAATGATGGGTCTCCTTGACTCGAGACCAGATGGATTTGGGACACAGGAGGAGGCAGTACAATGGCAGTAAGCACTTTGATTTCAATATCGTTGATTCAAATGGTTTATAAGGATCTAGTATAACTACCAACACGATTCGCAACGTAACTTCTGCTCGAATTTCTATCCCGACCATCTTCACAAAGGCATCTGATCCTAATAGTCTTCATGAATGGGTGTGGCGGACACCCCTTCGTTCTACAGCACCATACTGGACAAGTAATAAAAA